AACGGATTATGTTGGTGAATATTTATTGTGAAATTCTGGCAGTTCTGAATAGTAAGTGATGCGGTGGCCACATCCATTTTTTGATTTTCATTGACCTTGGTTATAGTCTCGGTGGTGGTAATAGTGGATTTGCTTTGTATTGAGTGAAATATTTTTTGGGCAGTTGTCATTTTATTATTTAAGGAGTCGTTGATGTATCCCTCCGCCACCGTTGCGGACTTCCACCCCCCATGTCTTTTTAATGCAGTCATGTTGGCTCCTGCATCTACTAGTATTGTGGCAGACGATCTCCTGAAACTGTGTCCTGTATACGTTTCGGGGTTGGGCAGATTTAAATAATTGGCAATTTGTTTTCCCATTGCCGAGAATTTGTTAATTCCTATATTTTGGACAGAGTATTTCCCATTTTGATAATTCAAAAAGAGAGACGGCGAGGCAACTGTGGGGGGACGCAAATCAATATATTTTTTAACCATTTCACAAAATTTTCCTGTTACGGTGAACTTTCTAACGACTTTTGTTTTTGTGTTGGGCACAGTAATTAGCATGGATGTATTAAAAACTTCAATATGCTCAATATTCATATTTCTTAATTCGTGACAACGACAGGCACCCATTACACCAAGAATTAATGCTACCTGAAACAAAAATCAATGGCAAAATTAGTAAAATGGATTAACAACTTCAATGTTTAAAATTATGGGACTGTCTATTCGTCCGGGCGCTCGGACAAATAATAGATTGAGCTATATATCCGGGCGTAAAAAATAATTGAAATATCTACTTTCAACCGTTTTTATTTTATTATTTTTCTTTAGTAAAATTAGACAGAACTTTAAATTTCAAAACTAACCGGTGGATCAATATACTTCAACATAAATTTTACCATTGGTAGAATTTTTAATCTTTTTTTTTTTAAACGAAACCAACTTTTTTGGGTGGAACTTGAACTAACCTGTGGAACAATATTCTCGAACAAAAAATATAAATACTTAAAAGAACATAAAAAGAAAAAATAAAATAAAAAAAAAACTGCCAAGGCCCGGAATTGAACCTAGGACCTATCGATCTACAGCTCGATGCCCAGTCCACTGGACCACGCCACACGATACCCGTCTACTTGTGTTACAGGATTAAGAACAACGAATGATGACTCAATGCCCGGATATTTAGCGCAATCTACTATTCATATCCGAGCGCTCGGACAAATAGACAGTCTCTAAAATTGTTATAATTATGTTTATTTATTAATTCCTACCTTTGTTGCAAGATATTTTTTATCATCTGCATTTTCAATGAACATATTTATTTCATCTGGAGTAAATGTTTTGGACTTTTTCGCCTTATAGCCATCAGATTTGCGTTTAAGAAAAGTTTTTAACTTTCCGTAAGTTGCTATATTTATGTTCCCAGCTAGCACATAACGTTGCCAAGCCTTTCGGCGATGTTGCATTAAGGGAACGTAATAACATTACTGTACAACGTAAATGCAACGTTCATGAGAAGTTGTTGAGGGAAATCAAAACCTCGCAAAACTTCTATTTGTTATTTACCTAGTTAACCTACCGTAAACATTATAAATCTGAATTCAGAACGTTTAGTTTTATGTCAATTGTCACTTGTCAGTTTTTCTTGTCAATTGTCTTTTTTAATGGTTTATTTTTGGACATCCAGAATTTATTTTATAAATAATTATTATTTATACATTCGAATAGATTTGGTAAGGGTCCTCTATAAAATAGATAACTATTTTCTAAACCATTGTCATTGTTTCAGATTACAATGCCTGATGTAAATTTATTATTTCATTCATTAAGTATCTTTAGCAGTCGATGCTGATGACACCAAATAAAAAAAAACTACAATAAAAACAAAGAATTGCAGATCAATCGTTGTAAACCAGAAGATAAACATTTAACCGAATGTCCGGCAACATTTTACACCAAATACTTATAAAAGGTAATTATACTTTATCGAACTAAAAATACATTTTAAAAATATTATTTTTTAGGTTTCCTTCGACATTCTAGGAATTTTAGAAGCAAAAGTAAATACTACAGAAGTGTAAAGAAGAATATAACACCTGAAGTTTTATAAAAAGTGAATCTATAGGTACATGATATGTCAGGTATATCAGAATTCAAGCAGTTCATTCTCATCAACAGGCTAGATTGCCTGGAAATGCAACCATCAGTTCAAGTGAAAACCCAGCAGAAAAGTTGAGAGAAATCATAGATGATACTCTCGAGTATAATAGAATATCTTGCTAAAAAACACCAGTTGTTTTTTATAAAATCTACATATTGATGGCTCAATCAAATACTGCCACAACTAAAATACTATTATTTCGAGAAATTTCATTTTGAAATTTTGTAAGTCTCTATTATCATTATTTTGTTTTTGACATACTCTTTTTATTTTATTTTACTATTTTATTTAAAAGCTTCGATATTTTGCTGTTAAATAAAATGATTACTATTTTAAAAGTGAGTTGTTGCATAGTTGTAAAAAATTTGGGTGTTTTTGAAGAAAATAACTCGAATTGAGGCAGTTTTAGACACAGTTTGTGGCTACATTTTAAATGATTTATCTTTAAGGATATTTTTGTTTGTGGTGGTATTTAAAGTAAAACCGTAATGATATTTTGCATCCATTGAACCAAAAATGTAATTGCTTTGTTTTTTGACTTGTGGCGGTTTTTGATTGAGCCATCGATATATCTACCTTGGAAATCAAGCATAAAATTTGTAAAATTCAAACAAATTTCAATACACTAACATTGGTTGTTTTATTTAAAACAACAAAGTTAGGCATATTTTTTAATTTCTATATAATTTCCTTTAATTAATAATAGGTAAACAAGTTATCAATTTCTTTTTTATTCAATGTATTGAGAAGTAAAATCTTTTTATATAAAAATATAATTTATGCTCTTCTAATAAATTGTCATATTTAGGTTACATTATAGCACTTTATAAATATCTATGCAAAAAAAGTTAAAAGGCTTGATTTAAAAAAGATATATCTCTGCGTCTTAGGTAAGAAATCAGCGAACTTAGCTATCCTCTAGTAATCTAATGTAATAATATGTACCTAGTCATTGTTGTATTCGTTTATTATTTTTCACCAATCTAGCTTTATCATCGTTCACCATTTAAGGTTTTAGTGAACCTTTGCAATATTGGTACCTTATTTTACTATTTAGCTAATTTTGTCCAATCGTTCAGTGCTTTCTAGGTAGCTTCTTCTATCCCACATGTGTACTTGTGTTTGTGATATAAGGTGTGTTCTTTTATTCAATAATTGTTCCATCAGTGATTGATGTAATTTATCTATTCTGCAGTCGTTTTATATTTGAACTCTTATATTTTAGGTTAACTTAAATGATTGATTATCCTCACCATTCGTCTATCACATATCCATCGGCTTTTAAAGCCAATGGATGCCTTGGCTCATTGGTGAACTCACCGCTGCAAAAAAGAATGATTGACACATACAATCGTCTTTCCATCACTTAATTTACGAACGATTTGCTGCAAGTGCTGGATACAGCACTGAATAAAAGAACACGCCTACACCTACCTCTACTTTTGTGCTATTGGTACTTGATTTCAAGAACATTTTAATAATAAATTTATATAAATATTTTGTTTCATTTGAAATTTTCATGTCTCGATTGAGATTTTACTATAGCCTCAATTTCAGCCTCTCTGTATTACATTACACAATGTGTGTCCACGGATGGACTTAATTATACTTGTAAAAATATTTATTTTAAATTAAAGAAAAAGTAATTTTTCATAATTTGTCAATGTGAATCGAATTTATTTAACAAGCAAGAAATTATGAAGAATTACTTTTTTAATTTAAAATAAATATTTTCACAAGTATAGTTAAGCCCATCCGTGGACACACTGTATAATGCTGTAGCTCTAATTCACATTATAACATCAATAGAACGGTTCAGAGCAACTTTCGGGATAAGTACCGTAAAAGTGCTAGTGTGATGTTTTTCGAACTTCACTTTGTAACTTCTGTGAGATGTGCTATAAAAGTCTTGCCGTTGCGGACATTCGGTAGTTGCAGGGAGATAAGGGTTACATTTACAGTACATTGCATGCGAGCTTAAAGAGCCTAAAATTGCAGCTTATTAACGTAGATGGGATGTTTTTGTGCTAGCTGGGTTTTGTCGTACCTCTAGTGTCGTTCGCAACATGGAATATTGAGTCCAGAGGGACGAAGATTTGTATTTTTCTGCTAGCTCTCCAAAGTAGGCTAGTAACACGTTTTCGGAAAACGAGGTAGTTTTTTTGCGGTCTCGCCAATCCATAAAAGCTTTATACGCTTTTTCGTGAAGATTTCGTGATTTTTTAGGTAGCAAGTCTACCGATGTTATTTTCGCTGCTTCTACGATATCCGGTGGGGTATAATTTTCTTCGTCGCTGTTAATATCGTCCATTTCATCCATTTGTGTTTTGATTAGACAATTTATAGGTTTTTGAGACAAACTTTTACACTTTTTCAGCTTTTGGAGACAGAAGTGTCAAGCGCTGGTCAAGCGTGACAAAATTACAAATGACAACTGAGAAGCAGTGTTGTACAGGAATAATACTGTGGTGCCTTTTCCGTTGTCATGGGCAACTAATAAAACTGTTGGCTTATGAAAATTCGTGGCCTGTGATTGGTCAAATACCGTTGGCTTATGATTCATAAGCCAACAGATAAAAATAATGACTACTATTATTTAAAGAAAAAGCGTTAATAATTGACATATTATTCCATAGGCGTAGAAAAAATCTTTTTTTAAGTGTCCTAAACTAGTAAATGTCATTAAAATAGTTTTTTTATCTTATTAACCGCTAAATTAATTTAGTTTTATATCAAAAGCAAATATCTGAAAAAGGGGTTATTAAGAGAACCTCAAGGATCAATCCTTGGTACATTAATGTATTCTGTTAATATTGCTAATTTTTACTTAACTCTAAATAATTTTTTCTTACCTGCTTCAATAAGTAATACTCTCCACTCAGGAATTTCAGACAATCTACTAGCCACCACTGCCCCAGAACTTCCCGATCCAACAACTATAAAATCATAGTCGTGGAATAGCGAAGGAGGTTTGGGACGATTGCAAGGGTCCTCTACGTCGCATTGAGAACGGAGGAATACTTCTAAAAGGCCCATGAAGAGCATGAAGGGGGCGCCACCGCATGTCGCCGCTAGAGTGGGACCTGGCTGCGTAAGCGGGCAATCGCACGCCATCTGAAAAAAAAAAACATTATTTACAATGACGTTGACATAGACAGGATTTTATAGAGATTAGGACTGTTAGTAAAATGACTCTTAAGCGGCATTACCAACGACGAACAAGTACTAGAACAATTTTGTTTACAAAAGGTGAATTACTTTCACGTTTTTATTCACGTATTTGCCAAATTATTACGAGAGAGTAGCCAAATTATTACGAGAGAGTATATGTACAAGGTTTATTTGTGGTTATAATTCAGAACATACTTAACAAAGGCTCTTAAACACGCAACAAAGTTTGCATTCTTATTGCCAAGTTTAATATCAGTAATACATTTTTTCTGGTTGCAACTGTCCTAGTTGAAGGTGATTTCCAGGAAATTATATCATTTATTTTGCACCGTGAAAATAGTATAAAGTAGGCATCGTAGTGCTGGTTTATTTAAAATAGGCCGCCATTCCCACTCAAATTAGTAGGGCGTTTTGCTCTTTTTAATGCGGCAGCTCTATAAGTGTAACAGAAAATAGGAACTGAATACTTGCAAGTAAACATTGCTTACTCATGAAAAGTGGTCCGTCGTTAGGTATGTCGGAGAGTCAGCGGTACTACCAACAGTTTCATAAATAATTCATAATTTAAAAACTCTTGCAGTCAGTTGAAATTTATTCTTCCAGCTAACAGAACATTCGCTAAACTCAAGACGCACTCAATTGACGATACCTGTTTAATCGACAGAAGGGATTTCTGCGATTAAAATTTCATCGGAGACTATCCTGGTACAGGTGGGTTCTGTAATTCAATGGCAATCACTTACATAATTTTAATGGCAAAAAACATCGACCCCGAAACTATTCACTTATTGAAAGTTTAAAACTATCATCTGTGTAACGAGATGAGTGGAGAGGCATTATTGTTGGACGTAAAACTGACCTGCGAGAGTAGAACGAGAGTTGAGATGCAGAGTAATTGTCTAAAACGAGACGTCAACTAGGGACATATTCTCTGTTGAACGACTGAAACTAAAGTGACGCGAGCGGTAATTTGATCTTGTTAATTCTTGTGTGTTGGGGCGAGTTTAGCTAGTGTTTTCTAGAGTCGACTGGAATAAAATTCTGTTAAATAATTTTAACTTCAGAAAAATAGGGGGGTGGGTTGGCTCAGTGGTTAGAGTCATGACTTTGAGATCGGAAGGTCTCAGGTTCGAATCCCACCGTTGGCCGGGTTTTTTTCATTTAATTTAATTATTTAAAATTAATTCTGATGCATTGGTAGGATTCCCCACTCGACCATTCACTGTTGGGTTCTAATTAACAGTGCTGTTACTGGGAAACAGTAACAAAGCCTACACAGAACACGAGGCTAATGGCCGTAGTAGTCGACGCCGATGACACCAAATTAAAAAAAAAAAAAAAAAACTTCAGAAAAATATTGAAAAACATACGAGATAGAATATACAAAGAAATGTGGTATAAATGCTATTCACGCTGGGGCTACGTGACATTCGGCACGCGTCAAGAAGGCAATATATTTAGTTTGTACTATATCTATATCTTTCCAGTTATAAACAGCTGGTTTTCATTACATCAATTTTCAATGATACTCAGATGGTTCTATAAAAAATAGCAATAATATAAATTGAGGTAAATATGTTTAAGTCATCAGCGAACAGCAGGTGATTGTATATTACTGATCAAAAAGCCTTTAAGAAATCTGTATATATTAGATCAACTTGATCCCTCTGATCGACTACACCTGGTATACTGTTTTATGACACCATAGTTTGACACAGTCAATCTCCTGCTTATAAATGCATGTTGATTATTAGCGATAAGGGGTATTTTTGTATGGCATGTGTCTGTATATACGTCTATCTCAAGAACTTGGCAAAATTGGAAAAAATGAAAATTGGTCGATTTTAGAATAGGACCAATTTTTGACAATTTCCAACTTTCCGAAAATGAAGATTTTAGCGACATAGCAAGTATGTGAGCATAATCTCTTAAGAATTAACTAGGGATAAGAACAGAACCTGATGCCATTTTGTTTTTTATTCTGCGAAGAGTTACTAGTGAGGTATTCTGTAAAGTTGAGAACTTTATGACCCGCGTAAGGGTTTCTTTCTGTTACTGGAAAAGTGGACTGTGGATTTGTACAACTTGTAGATTATATGATTATATTGGTGAACTTCTTGAAAACTTGTCTGGGAATGTCGAAATCAAATAATCACTTCTGCTATATTGGATGACATAATTTTTACATAATTTTATAAGTGTTTAAACTTTAATATTGTCATGAAAATTCCTAAGCCGTCTCTGTCTAAAGCAAGCGACCTTCGGCTTGCCACTCGATTCCTTATCGAAGCACCGCTGACGTGTGGAGTCAGTCGGACCGCGTCTCGAATATACCAGAACAGGTGATGCGTGCTGCTGAGTCAGAAATGGAATTTTCGGGAGCCTCTAGACTCTAGAGATTTCTCGTAGCAGAGTTGGACTTGGTATAAATAGCCCGACTTATCGGCGGACAGTTTAGTTTTAGAATAATGTGTTTAACAGAAAAGGTAAATTGTAATAGATAAATTAGAATTGTGAGTTAGTGCTTAAGTATTATATAAATTAATAAATGGTAAATAAACTATAAATAAATTAAACTATCGTTACAATAATGAACATGTATGTTTGAAATATCTCTTTTATTTGTTTTAAATAACAAGGAACGTGTACGTACAATAATAAAGAAAGTGTTACTCTGGTGGAGGTTAAAATAAGTCCTGTGGATCGTGAGTTGAGTGTCGTGTGGAAAAGTTAGTATTTCTGTGTTACTGTTGATTGGGCTAAGGAAGTGATCATATGTTTGAACAGAAACTTGTGATTAGTTATTGCACGTGGTGAGAAAGTTTGCCAAATTAGTGCGGATAGAGATACCGTGTATATTGTAATTATTTAACGAACATGTATATTTGTTTTTAACGAGTTATTTTAGCTATACCCATACTATAGCGATTAAGATAGATATACGAGTGTGAGAGAGTTAGCGCTTGTATTTAAATTTCTTAAAATTTTCTATGAGTGAGAAAACTATATTCTGCGCGCGAAAATAATAGGTAGTAAATATGCTGCAGGTGTGCAAAGTATGATATTTCTTGGAATTCCAAATCCGTCAAGCTGTATTCTTGTTCTGCTAGGGTTGTTTTTGATTTGTTTGAAGTATCTGTGAAACAATCCTTGTCATTTTTAAACAATAGTGTTCATTTGTTATTCTTAAAGCTTGATTTGATGGAACACCGGTAGGAGTTAAAACGGTCAAAAAAAGGTCCGCAAAACATTGTACATTTAAAATCTATTGCGGGCTTTCAAGGCTTCTGTGAATCGAATGTACCCTATTTGACATTTTAGATGAATTTCTTTTGCTACGGACGAAATTCCAAAAGCTTTTTGAGTCTTTGCTTATATTATATTTGATAGAGCAAACGTAGTCTGTCTTTGTAAGCTCTTTTAGACTGTGATTTAATAGGTATACTTCCTTAAATTACCTTGTAACGTATTTTTATCCTTTTATTTTACCATACTCAAAAGGTTAAGAACAAGCTACTGCTAACGGCAGCTCTTCAGTCGAGTGAGCATAAGGTCGTGAGTTCTTAAGTTTTAAAAATGTCTTTTCTTACTTTTGCAATCTATTAGTTTCTTTTGTTTTTAAGTGCCAGTGAATTTTTAGTTGGAATTCACAAACCAAGGAAAATAATTCAATTAAGAGAGTTAGATATGTAAAAGTTCTTTTTCAGTTATAATAAAACAACATAATTATTGTCTTTCATCATTAATAATTTTATTACTATATATTTTATTTCTTCATTAGAACGATAAAGAAGATCGGATGTATTGTTTGTTAGACAAAGAAAAGACAATTTATACATTACTGCGATGATCAATGTGACAACAAATGGAACATATAATTTTAAAAAAAATCTTACCAATAAGTTTTAATTTCTATGTAAAATAGTTTCGGTAATAATAAAAATCAAATTCGATATATTAAGTAGATATTATTGTCAGAAAATAGTTATTTAATTACAATAAGAAAAAAATGGGTAATGAGTATTGCCTACCTATTAGTACAAAATATTCATATTTAAAACTAAATATAAGGAGTGGACACGTTTACACAGGGATTATTTTCATTTTTAACTCTGTAAATCAATTGGAGCTTTTATGAAATTAAAAATGCTACAACCTAATATAAAACTAATAATTTTGTTTTTATCTCGATGGTTTTTATAGTTAACAGTAAACAAGTACTTATATGTGTAGAGAATTTATTGTATAGCCTGATTATCGTAGGAAAACGATGATTCGAATAGGGAAGTAGAGTGAATAGGTGTTGTTAAATTAGAACGAAATCGTATGTTAAAATGGTGTACGTCAGATATGCACTGTATTATATAAATCAATTTTATTTACAGTTAAATTGCAGGAATGGCACTTAACCAATTTTCAATATAGTAATATAATAAGTTTGTTATCTTACGTAAGAAATTTTTTATAGAATAACAATTATTTACAATCTTATTATGTCAAAAAGTTCGGAATTTAAAACAAAAGTGACCTATTTTTCGAATTCATTCTTTAATTTTGAGTAACAGTCTATGTGCACGGAAAGTAGTTCGAAGTTCATCCCCTCTCTACTTATAAAATGTATTCTTTCAAATAGCATTTTCAGCTGATTTGATCAGATTTCTTTGTTTCTGATCGTAACCCGCCCTAAGAATGTTCCTAATTAATTAGTTTTAAAAGAGGAAAATAAAGAAATGTGTTGGCTATATGAAAAGAATGGTATAAGCCAGGTTCAGTTGTGGTAAACAAGACAACTATTATAAAATAACCAGTCTATTGCTATTTCTTGTAGATATAGCATCGATTAACTACGATTATCTATCTTTAAATGGTTACGTAATGACAATACGTATTTTAATTATATAGAAAATCAGTCTAAAAACGGCTATTATGCGTATGGAATGATT